TTAGAGAGAGTGGATAATAATGCAGATTATTTGTGAAAATAGCAAATCTTAATTCACTGAATCTTTTAATAACTGGATAAAAACGTGAGAAAAAAAAGCAGGTTAAAGAAAGGAATTATTTTCAGAGTTCCCCTTTCGCTCGTCCATTAAAAGACATAAAAACATCACAATTCTCTTCAGAGATTGGAAGTACTTTATACTGTACATTTACAATTGATGTGCTCTGCCTCATTTTTCTATGTTTACAAAAGTAAAAAACAGGCGTAATAAAACTGAATGTAAAATATGTATTCCCTATCGCCCAGATTGTGAAATACAAAATTTAAAACACAACAAAACTTTTTGAGACGAAGATCCAAGTTCCAGACTATAACGACTCTTGCGCAGGTAGTCGCTTTACAAAATTTAAGTTCATTTATATGAAATATCACTCATTTCAGAGATGGTCACAATAAGAAGTTTCACTATAAATCATTTGAAATTGAGGGCAAAATGAAGTTTTACAAGTTTTATGATAATTTGTTTGCATTTTGAAATTATAATAAAACTCCACTTATCCGGATTTCATGTATAATGAAATTCCAATTATTCGGCTCGCCAGTTTTTTACAAGGACAAAAATCTCAATGTTTCAGTTTTATCTTTGATTTAAATAAGATAACATAGTAACGTAACATATTTGAAGTAGTTATTAATTAATTAAACAACGGTATACTTTTTTAAATAAATCGAAGAAAACCTCTTCAAGATAATTGCTGTAGTCAGCTGCAGATATAGCATCCCGGCAAAACTAGAGATATTGCCATTTCACTTGGGAGAAATAATTATTGCAAACTTCATGCGAAAACTATCAAGCGAAAAAAAAAGAAGTACACAGCCTCTTATATAATCAAGCTTTTACATTAAACCGTTGCACAAGATTACACATAGTATTCGTTTGTTATGAAATATTTAAGCAAAGTGCCCCCACCTCCACTATTTGGCTCTATTTTGTATAGCTCGTTTTTAATTACATGTTTTATGTTCTCGTCTTTTAATTACTGGGCGATTTATTCATAAACTAATAGTCCTATCGTAGCAGCTTACAATTATTTCAAGTTTTAAAACAATAAATCTGTAAACTAGGTATTTCTTTTAATTTTTATTATTTAATTTTAACTTTCTGAAATTTAACAGTAAACTCCTCAACTTGTTAGCGTGTAATGTTAATTTTTCAGATCATATTCCTCCTTCCTGCCAATTTTAATTTTGTCGAGACACATTTTACATAAATATATAATTTATATAACAACATGGAAATGTTACCTATGTTTTACAGAGATAGGAAACATGGAATTAAGTCACTTTGTTCCTACTTTCAAATAATTTAAATAAGTGCCTAAACCACATTTGATTTTATTATCGCTTTAAAAAAATATGCCAAATTTCAAAACTCGCCAATGTATAAAATCACGTAAATCTTCGGAAATTTTGAATGAAAAATTCTAATTTTTTGCAGGTACTTTATTGATAAATATATACTAAATCCAATTAACACTGAGAAGCTAAGCTTTTCAGGGCTAATTTTTTAAAAACTACTCGTGCGATTTTTACAAAACTTGGCAGTTTGGCGTAATTTGAGTCGTAGAATGGAAATATGGGGAAAAAATGGCATGTCATTTCAGAAAAGGTCAGATTTTGTGTGATAGTACCTATATTAGAACAATGCTATACATAAATCTAATCCTAAGTCACGCTTTCGAGACATAAAAAACACAAGTTTAATTTCGTCAGTCAGCACAGTAGAACGGGAGATACAGAACTGTCCCCCCTTTTTTTGCGCAGTATGCATAACTCAGAAACAATTATTATAGAAAATTTAAATTTTGTATATGGAACTGCTATAGCATTTAGTTGCGCACCACCCTTCTTTTGTTGCAATCTGCGGCATCAAACGTGCAATATATATATACCCACACTTTTACCCGGCTCGGTGAGCTCTGTTTTTTTATTCTTATATGTTGGTAAATTTCGCAATTTTTGTTTTAAAAATGATTGAATTGTGTTGTTCTTATGTTCCGGCTACGGTTTTTATGTCTTTAGTTAATCAGCATAAAATAGTTGTAGAATAATCAACAATTTAAAAGCGCAAGTGACGCTAGGTCTAACGTGGCGACTTTTTATTTACGTTTGAAACTCTTGGTAGTACAACGAATTAAGTCAGGTGGTGCAGCAACTTTAGCGTCTTTATGCCCACTGGGACCAAAAAGTAAAAATTTTGGTCTTTCTGCCTGTTGGCCAAACTGCTAATGCTTCCGTAGAAACTCGGTTTAATTGTTAAAATTCTTTTGTATTTGGTGTTCTAGGTCTTTTCTTTTAATTTTTAATGAAGATGTTTTGAGTTTTTATGCATTTTTGCCTCGCCCCAAAATAAGAACTGAACTGACTGAATGAAAATGATATCTCTAATGAAATTCGAAGAAATAAGTTTAAATGAAGTGTAGCAAAAAAATATGCATAATTTAATAGGCCGTACAAGGAAGTCATGTGGTGTCCACATTTTTTTTTTTTTTCCTGAGTAAGGGTCGTCCAGTGAATATAAATGTAATTTAAAAAAAAAAAAACATGTATAACTAAATTCCTTTTTAGGAGCGGTAAATCGTTTTATGTATTTTGAAACTAATGCATTCCTACACATTTCAAATCGGTTGAAATACAAATTTTCAAAAGTTCACCGACTTTTTAAATACCATATTTCCATATCATTACATAAAAGAACATAGATATACATTCACCTAATTAATCTGCAAAAACAAATCAGTTATTGGTACTAGTCCCATTAGGTCAATCAAGGTGTCACAGAAATAACAACTAACAATAAGAAATAAAACAAAACAACAAAGGAAGATTGGAAATATTACGTATTAATCATACTGATTCTTCAGTTTGTGAATTAAGTGTATTAGCTATCATTGAAAGAATAGTTGCCATTTGAAAGGTCAAGAAATGGCATGCAAACACATGCTGACTCATTTTTATGGGGGGGGGACCACAAGCTCGGTTATGGTACCATCTGCATATTTAACAATTTTGGTCACTATAGCATGGACGCATTCTTTGAAAATAAACAAAACAAGAACCCCTAACCGATGATGATATAGCATTCGCAATAGGAGGGGGGGGAGGATAAAAACCCATGCCAAAAAGATATTTGTTCTTATGAGTCAGCGCTTCTCGTTGGACAAAGCGATTATAACCTGTCAATCTGTCATTTAAACTATTTAACTAATATCTAAAATAACTGCACCAGGTAATGAACATTAACATGTGTTGTAAATAAAGTAGGAAACTCAGAAGCAAGAAAATTCTTAGTGATGATAAGTGGAAGCATGAATGGCAGAAAAATGCTACGAAAAAACGGTAAAAAATGTACGTAAAATATAGTGGTAACGTTAGGGTGTTGACATTAACCATGCTATCACCTACAGTCTAATATTCTAGGTTACTGAAGAATAAAGTAAGAGACATTAAGATGTATTTATTTGCACCGACAAGGCCCCATGGAAAACTGAAGAATTGGACATAAATGCATCCGAGAAAGTAAGTACCTATGTCAGCTTAGCAAATCTCTGAGATTACATCCACAGGGAGGTAGCAACAGACTTTGTAGCATTTCACAAGGTGCTTTGGATAGAAAAGGTTCATAAACCCGAAGCTGTACATTAAAAGAAAAGAGGTGGTCATTCAAACATCAGAATACAAAATGACAAGTCTTCCATAATCATCATTAGCTGAAATGTATGGCCAGTATTGCAACAAGCATTTAAACACTGATATTTCAGCAACATGTATATACTTTACCCAGAATTTAAAAATGGATTACTAAAACAATTTTTTGAAAAATATTGTTTTATTATCTAAAACGCGCGTCTAACGGCACACCACACTATGTAAAGGGCATTTTGTGCATTATATTCAAACGCTTTGGATTATTCAAATTAGGTATCATATTTCTACAACAGACCCTTTCGTGCAAAATAATGGCTTTCTAATATATATCTCGTGTGGTGAGACCTTCATTTCCAGCTTGGCATTTATAAAATTTAAAATATGTGCAATATTTTTACATAAAGATGTTTCAGACCGCAAAATAAATCTTACATGTTTATACGAATAAAAAATACGAATATTTCGTTCATAAAGTACTGTTTCTGATAATTCCAGGTCGCAGTTTAAAATACATAACCAAAGATTTTGTATTCGAAACTACGAATTTTCGACATCGATCTTCTAATTATCGCTCACATGATGTAAACACATGCCTCAGAGTATAAGAAGGATAAACACGATCATTTGACATTCAACTATGAAAAAAGTAAAAGTTCGACAAATTTTTACCAGGTAATTTTATACGATTATATCAGTTCTCAATGCCATTATGTACAACTTAACAATGAAACTGGAAGACACTTAAAAAATCCTACAAGACATACACAATATAAATCTCGAATTTTTATTTCAAAGGTCCCTCGTAGACGCACAGCTATAGTTAGTAAGTATCTGTATTATGTTTACATGACCAGAAGTTTCCTGGGTAGATTGCACTGTATTCCAATTATGTTTACGACCAGGATTTTCCTGCCAATTCCAAGCTTGGTAGACTGCATTTTCTCCCAATCTTATGCCTATACTTATAAAACTATCCCAAAAAGAAATTAAATTTAATCTGCGAATTAGCAAACACAAAATGCATGAAAAAAAATTTCACAATAAGCACCTTTAAATTACTTTTACTCGTTCACATTTCACAATTAAAAAGTTCAATAAAAAAAAAAGTCCTCTAGCTTTCCCTCTTCCCCAAATGCAATTTTCCTTCAAAGTACATTTTTATTTTTAAGAATTTCATTAACACTGTTAAAAAGCAGTTTAAAAAACATGACTACTTAAATAACAATAAGTAATTTTCTTTACGACTTCAAATAAAGAATTCGTTATAAAACGTCAAACATAAACTTTACTTACCTCTTTTTAGTACACTCTATCTCCAACTGCACCGATATCTTTCTAAAATGTACAGTTAAAAAACTCTAACCAGAAACACATTTTAATAGAACGGGGACAACGGCATATACTGCAAAGGTGAATGAAAACAAACTTTCCACAGAAGCAAAAATACTATTAAGTAGTCAACGGCGAACCATCCCACCGACTCAATGGCGACGAAAATATCTAGCAACAGTCAACTATAATCACTCCGCGGGGAACCTTTTTGGGATTGTGCAAAAGAGGCGGTCATTGTGTACAGTACTTTCTGTCTTATCACTTTCTAATAAGTATTCGCTGATAAAAAGAAACACAGACGCGTTTCTCCATTATATCGCTCTTCTTATCATCAAGCGAACAATAAACATTTAAAAGTGGGTAAAAGGATAGCAATAATTTTATATTTATTTTTGACAACATGGAATTCTCCCCTCCTCCCTATTTCTACAAAGCACACTGGAATCTCCTAATCTTGGAAATTTTCACAGCAGCAAAAATCAACCCTTGAAAAAAAAATCAACTATCAGAAATAAACATTTTTGTTATACCATATTCAAAAGAAACAACGAAAGTCAAAATAATAATCAAAATACAAAATTAAGAAATGATAATAAAATAAATATATAAAAATGTTACATGCCATCGACTTAAATGCTATAAAAATGTGCTAGAAACAATAATCCATATAATTTTCAAAAGAAGGGAATCAAAGACATACAATCACGTTAGGCTGACTAGCAAAGTGATGACTCAGCACTTGTACAAATACCAATTCGATATTTGCTAATTACCAACAGCAGATTTGTCAAAAACATAATTCCTAATGAAAAAAAATCTGATGTGGATATCACATCTTTATACAGCCTATTATAGACATTTTTTGCTGCATTTCATTTAAACTTATTCCTTGAATGATTTTTACTTGAATAACCGAATCCTCAAGGCAAGATGAAAATTACATCAAAAACTGCAAATTTTTAAATTAAATATTTAAAATTTGAAATAGTATATCCTGATATTAAATTTTGAGATAAATATAAAATAGCAAAATAAAATATTAATAATAAATTTTTAGCACGGGAGTGACTTAAACTTCTCATAATTTTATTTTTTCATAATTAACATAAAACTTTCCCAAATGTTAAGTATAGGAACCAGGAGACTGCATAAAAGTTAGATTTCATTACTTGTTCAAAATGAAATTTAAAAAAAAAAAAAAAAATTGACATTGACAAGACATGAATATTTCCGTCATTTAAAGCACTTCTGTAATTAGAAGTTATGACTATGAGAGAAAAGGCTAGGTGAGGACTTTTAACCCGGGTAAGGGGTTCAAAAACAAAATTTATTTACAACGGTTTAAAGTTTTATATTGTCGAGAGGAAGGGAACATGTTCAGCATTCAATAATTGACCTGCTTTGGCGTTTCAAATACTTACCCCTTGATAAATTCTGTTTTAAACATCAAATAGGGGTGATTAATTTATTTTTCCTTTTATAGTTTTCATTGCTTTCTTTTATTATTAATTTTTCTATTGCTTCTTTTGTTAATTTTAATGATTACACCCCCGTATCAACAAGTTTTAACTTCATGTCCATAATCTCACTTAATTTGGCATATTTGACCACTTAATTTTTTTTATTTTTAATGTTAAGACATATTTTATTTACCCTACACCTTTTACCTCAGATATGATAATCAAGATTTCTATTCGTTTTAAACTTAGTTTGTATATGTGTTTGGTACTGTCAATAGCAATAAAAAAAGGGAGATTTACAACTACAGCAGTTTCAAAATATAACAAAATTTCAAAACTCTAATGGCTAATAGTTGTTGAGTTATGCAAGATACAAACATTTGTATGTCTAATCACTTACTATAATTAATCAATTATTGATTGATTGTCTTAACTGATTAAGTATTAATTAATTGATTGTTTAATTAATTATTATAAATTAATATTATTATAATTTAATTTTTCCAACTATGATTTAGCTATCCAGCTATGCTATCAACTAGGATTAGTCACCAATGATTAACTAAGACTTGTTAATTTCGCCTTTTTGGAAACAAGATTCATGTTTCTTGATATGAAACTTTAATGCTCTTTTAGTTTGGCTGACAAATCTCAAACTATGATGGGACAATATGAAATCTAAGTATAAAACCATGGATTTAACTGATAGGTGAGAAAATGACCTTTATAACTGACAGAAGGATGAAATGGAAGTGCAACAAGGTTATTAATGTTATTTATAATATCAGAAATTCTTTTTTGATGGCAAGCTGAAAATTTTTTAAAGGCTTTTTATCAACGACCATGGAAGAAAATTTTTAGTCAATTGCAACTGATTAAATAATTGAGTTCGTTAGCAAGCAACGGTTCTGAGAAACAAACTTCAAAAGCATGAAATATATAATAATAAAAAGAAGCCATATTTTGCTTAACCAGGTGACATGACTTAGCATGGGGCAGTTAGCAAACAGAAAAGTGTTTACGGCACACAGTAGTGCAGAAATCAGATTCATTGCAAATTATAACAATATCATGGAAGAGAAGGCATTGTCAGATTCAGTTTGAAAAGTGAACTGGATGACTGGATAAATTGACTTTGCATTATATAAAATCTTTGATAAATCTTCTTTATTACCATCAAAAGCACCAAACATAATTGGTGCAACGGAGCTTTATCTTTATCAATAACTTCAAAAGAATTTTTTATAGTTTAAATATTGTTAGAAAGTAAAGGAGAAAAATTTGAAAATTACCTATTTGACCAAATGATATGATGCCATTCCTAAGTTGGAAAACTACAAGTCGAAAAGTACTTCAAATTTTGCGGCCTTTAGGGAGAGCATAAAACCTTGTTAAACGCCCTTAAATGAGGCAGATTTAAATACCGATTGTTTATTAAAGAAAGGGGCATCTATTCCTTCAGAATTCCATAGCAGTGATTGGGGCAACTAAATTTTGCCACGTGATTAGTAACATAGCCACTGAAGAGTATTTAGAAAAAATTTTAAATATTAATAATGATTGCATGGCTAATACGGAAGATAAAGGCACCAATCTCGAATCAACAGTTGATTTAGAATTCCAAGATAATAATAATATATGTGAAAAAGAATCGTGCATAACGACAGAAGTAGCTACTGAAGCTCAAATCGGAAAACAAAAAGAAACAGATATACGCATTGACAGAACGGGAGTGCTTATCAACAAAGTTCTAATTTGAAAGTGTTTTGAGAGATAGCTAAGGAAGCATTTGAGTAACAGGCAAAGAAAATGAAGACTGCATCTACTAAAACTTTCCGAAACCTACTCTCGGACAAAATGTTAAAATAAAGTACCTGATATTGATAGATCCAAAATGGATCGAAAATCAATAATAGCCATTATTACAGATATTAAAGATTACATTTTATGTTCTTGGTACTAACTTTGGTAAATTAAAACTGTTGTACACAAAAAAACCAGTTTATCTTTTGCAAAAAAAAAAATTTTTAAACATTGAAGAAGTTAGTACAGAAAAAGTGTATACGAAGTTGTAAAAAAACATTCTTTAGTTGGGGGGACAAGCACTCAGAAAAGGCAGCTCTTCAAAGAAGTGTACTATGAAGATAATTTTGTGCAAATCAGCTGATCTACTTTCTAATTCAAAATACTATAACAGTCAACCTTGCTGTAATAGGTAGTTAAAAGTATTAAAGAAAAACATACATTTTTCTTATTTTTTAAATTTGTAATTTTTACTTATTTTTTCTTTGAGCCATCAATTTAATTTTTTTAACTATTTTAAAGATTTTTAAAGATTATTGAGATCTCTTCAGTAGCTATTGAGAGATTGTGCATAATTCAGCTTTCTCACACGGAATCTCTTATTTGCAAAATGGCATAAATACTGCACCTTTTTATTGTTATTTCTTGTAACTCTAACAACATACAGTATACACATAAAAATTGTTAACAAATGTTAGTTCTCAGAATTTTTTATTTTGAAGGCATAAACATTTTAATAGCGTTTAAAATTTTGTAAAAAGCAAATAAATAACGACAATAAATTTGTAAAAAGACATTAATTTAAGAATTTACTATGCTTTCATGGTTCAACGTCTTGATTCGCTGGTTTATATCTCGTGACCCCAAGTGATCTCATCTCACGCAAACTACTCTCCAAAAATCTAATTCTCTCAGCAATTATCTACATTAATTTCAAGTTAAATCATAATTTGGAATACAAGTTTAAATGCAAGAATTATTTCAATTAGTACAAATAGCTTACTCAGAAATTATGTTAAACCGCAGTGCTTTACTTTGCTAGTACATTCTCCTCATTAGAATTAATGAATTTAACACTTGATTTTGCCTTTTTTATATTTTCATCTTCGGGTGAGCGGTGTGATTGCATCCTGATTGACTTAATTACCGTGAATGGCCTTAGGGCATAAAATTGAACTATCTGGTAAAAATTCTATGTAATTATACGCGAGTATTGAAAGAAACAATCAATCTGATAAAAAATGGCTGCGAACTGTTTTGAAAATGAGGCATAAAAGGTTACCAGCAAGGATATTACGTTTGGCGTCAGTTGTACCGTTGCGATGCAGACGAAAATCCGAGTGGGAGCAGCAGGCGAGACGAAAAACAACCTTCTCATATGACACCACAAGCTCAACATAGTCCAGGTTGAACAATCAAATATATATTGAGGATATTTAGGGTTACGTGAAAGCAACCACAGCAATGTGCACCAGATAGGAACGAAACGACAACACACCCCTGTTGCCAACTAACATCATGTAAATATTGGGATTAGCACATACCGTAATATCAATAAGAAAAGCCGCGCCGTTTACGTGTTTAAAATTTTAATTTTCAGTGGGGTGCGGCGTTTAGGTGCACTAATAATAAAATATTTCCTATGATGGTCATTGTACACTGCTCAAAAAAAAAAAATGGGACAGTCCTATATCTCCCGATCTACTGGGCCGATTGACAAAATTCAAATTGCGTTCTTCATGTCTCGAAAGCGCGACTTAGGATATATATTAGATATATATATAGCACTATTCTAACACAGGTATTTTGACACAAAGTCGGACTTTTTCTGAATAACATACCAATTTTTTTACATATTTCGATTCTACGACTCAAATTAACGCCTAAATATGAAATTTTGTAAAATTTGGAGCGAA